GTGGAAATCAGAGGAGTGCTGCGAAACCCTCCCTGCTCCCAGCCAGCAAATACACCCAGCCAGCTCCCCACTCGCTGTCATTCATCTCAGTTCAGTTATATATATTGTTCTTCCTCTTTCTCAGCTATAAAGAGATTTAGTTGGATTTGCTGCTTCCTTTTTTTTTTTGTTTTGGTTTTTTTTTGTTTGTTTTTTAAATACCTGATGAGTATGGAGACCCCAACGTCCTCGCAGTTTGCATATACTCTGCTCCATGTCTCTTGAATAACCTTTTTCTCTGCGTCTGAAATCTCTTCACTTCTTTCCCATCTCTCAATCTCCATTTCTCCCTGGACTTTCTCCATGAAAAACAGCCGGCAGGATCCTCCGGGAAGCCAGGAGGAGATAAAGAGAGATGTGTGTGTGAGCGGGTATATCCTGCGAGGAGAGACAAGGTGTTTGCTCAGCGGCCGTGCGGGTGCTGGCGGCTCTGCCGACGTGTGGATGTATATGTGTGTGTGTATGTGTGTGTGTGTGCGAGCGCGGCTGCCTGTCGGCGTGTTTATATATATGTAATTTAAAAAAAATATCCCGGAGGTATGATGCGTGCGATTAGATTTCAGATCTCCTAGTGCTGTCCATGGCTGTAGTTAGGCTTCAGCTCGGCTCGGATGTGTGTGGCTGACTGATGGGGAACTGCCTAAAAGTAAAATATTCAAAGGCATTGCAAGACCAGCCTCTTTACCAATGTGTGAACGTGAGCTCACTTTCTCCTTCTCTCCTCCTCTCTCCCACTCCTCCCTCCTTCCCTTTTTTTTTTTTTTTTTCTCTCCCCGAAAGGGGGGGAGGGGGGAGATGTTCTGGGCAACATCAGGACGGTGCTGGGAGGGGGGGGCTGGGAGGGGGGGGGGGAGGTAAGGCTGGAAGTTTTTTTTTTTTTCAGCCCTTGTAAACAGCTCAGAGGAAAATCAGAATCCAAAGTGCCGAGTTAAAGTTATCCCAACCTCTGGCTGCACCGAGCTCTGCCTCGGCTCTCCCCCCTGCACTCCCCTATTTTGTGTTTTGAAGGACAGATCCTCCCTTGCCTCTGATTCTTGGGCTGCACGGAGAGTGGGGGCAAGAGGGGAGCGTGAGGTACCCCCACCCACCAGCATCTCTCTGCCACCCAAAGAGGTCATGCTTTGTCCCACGGGGACTTTTCTAACGGTGATAATTTGCTCTCCCTTCTTGTGGCAGGACCCAATTGTAAAGGTATCCAGAGTTAAGGCATTCACAAAATGAATACATTATTGTTGTTCTGTGATTGCATCGCCCCTGGTAGCGTCTTGGCAGGGACGAGGAGTGCAGGAACACCTCCACGCCAGCCTTCCCGCTGCCTTCGTGTGTGTGCTTTTGGGTTGGTTTTTTTACCCAAATGCCATTTCCAGCTCCCTGACAATCCGGCATATTAAACCCGCAGCACAGTCCATTTGCACAGAGAGAAGGAAAATACTACAGAGACTTGCAATAACCGACAATCCCCCAGAGGGGGATCAGAGACAAGAGAAGCAGCCTGGTGTGCACAGCCACCTCCCGCACCCTGGCAGGGCAGACAAACAGACAGAGGGACGGATGGACGCGCTGAGGGTGCAGCGCCGATACCCGGGCAGGCAGGGGTTGGAGGGTGGCTGAGCCCCTTTGGGGGCTGGAGCTTTGTTATTGCAGATCTGCCGAGGCAAAAAAAAAGCTGTATTTCTCCTCAAAACCAGCCTCAGTGAGCAGCAGCCAGACCCACGGTGTCAGCAAATTTGCTCTTGCGGATTTAAGGAGAGCTGGCGGAGAGGACGCTGCCCACCCCCACCCAGTTTGCGGTGGGACAGACCAGGAATCCCATGCATTTGTGAACCCCTGGGCTCCAGGACACAAACCCCACCTCACCTGGGAGCTGCCAAACCCACCAGAGTGCAAACCCTGCCCAGTCGAAAGTCTGGCATCATTCAGCTCCCCAATAACACCACCGTTGGCTTCCAAATCATCCAATAACACCATCATCGGCTTCCAAGATTTTCCCCAGCCAGCTTAAAGTTTGGAGTTTTCCTGCTGTCCATTAGCCACTGGGATTAGCACCCGTGAGCCCAAGCTCAAATATTAACTACAATGTCCCCAGGTGGCCACCCAGCAGCAGAGAAACCCCCCTGGACCCAGGATGGCACGGCCAAGCCTATCGCCCTCCCTTAAAAACACAGCGGAGGAGGCGCTGAGCTTAGACCCAGCTTAAAACCAGAGCAAAACTGCAATGCAGCGCTAGCGCTTTCAAAAAGGGAAAAAAACCTCAAATTCTGACAAGTATGAAAGCTCGGGCGATAATCATTGGTTAGGTTATTACTTGCCGTGTGTTTAAAGAGGAGGATTCTTCGAAGTTTTCATACCTTGTGCATCGGTCAGTGCTGGGCTCAGAGCCTGGTACCCGGTTACGTGGTGAGTTTGGATGCAGCGGGAGCTTTGCCTCTCTCCCCGGCACCGGGAGTCAAAGGGTCTTGGCTCAAGAGTCTCCATTTAGAAATACTAGAAAATATTAGAAAAGTAAGTGAGAAATGTCCCAGCCTTTTCAAGAATTCTGCCCCCCCTCTTTGGGGACACCACATCTGGCCCTGGCAGCAGCCCAGCCCCATTCCCACATCCCATCTCCTCCAAACAGGCGATGGTGAGCGAAGCGGTGGCGATGCTCCGCTGCCTCGGAATCCCAAACGAACCCCAACAGCCCTGAACTTCCGCGTCTCATCCCAGACGTGGGCCATAAATCAGGGGCAGGAGCACAGGCACACGCTGTCACACGCCAGCTGCCCGTTTCCATGGTTTCCCATGACTATTGCTCTCCAGGGCTTGGGGTTAGGAGGCGACTTGTTCCAGAAGGAGAAAGATGTTGGCACTGACACCATTGCTGCAAAATCCCAGCTGGGGATGGCACTGGCAGGCAGGTGGCATTGTCCTGTGACACCCTACCAGCCCATATGGTCCCATAGTGACTTGGGTGACCCCCAGTCCCTTCAGTGCACAGTGCTGTGCAGAGGGAGGTGACAGTCCTGGGGGCTGTGGTGGCATTTGCTCCCCCAGCCCAAGCTGCCTGTGGTTGCTGCCTGCTGTCCCAGAGGGGAGCTCAGCACCCTGCCCGCTGCCATGGCAGGGTGGCCCAGGACCATGGGGACAGAGGATGTGGTCCCTACGGCCAGCACGAAGGCTGAGATGGGATCAGCCTGGGTAATCTGTATGGAAGAAATCACTCCATCTCTCTTAGTTCCCAATTCATTTCAACACCCTGATCCCTCTCCCCTCTCCAGTCCAGCATCTCCTGCTTTCCACCTCCTTCCCACAGACCCATGTCCACAACGGAGTGTCACCGTGGTGCCAGCCCTCCCACTGGGGCCCTGTCCCTGTCAAGCCCCAGCCTGATCCTCCTGCAGCTTCTCTATGGCAGGGAGAGATCAAGTGCCTGTTCAAGCTGACCTCTGTTTGCACGGCCACAGGGGGTGAGGATGGGTTTCCAGGCTCTTGGAGCCTCTCCTCCCTGTTCCTGCAGGGTCTGTACCCCGCTGCCCACGGCTTCTCCCACTCCCCCTGTGCCCTCCCACATCGCCTCTCCTCCTCCCCGCGCGCTGGGTGCAATGAGAAATGTACTTGGCTCCCGATCCTCGAGTGGGAGGTGAAGGCAAAAAAACCCAAGACTTCAGCTCCATGGCGTGTGGGATGTGGATGATGGCAGATCCCCACCCTTGACTCCTCCACCGTCTCTGGGGCGAAGGTGGAACCCCCAGATCCAGACCCTCAGGGCTGAGTTCACCTTCCCTTGTGTGTGGGAATAGCCTTGCTATTTGGTTCCTGGAATAAAAACGGTGACTTCTTGTGTCCCCTGCAAAACCAGCTCCCTGAGACTCTCTGACAAACACTGTTAGTTGGGGTGGCCTCAGGAAGAGACCCTGCTTCCTCAGGGATTGTTCTGGGAAGGAGCTGCAAGAGCTGCCCCAAGCCCTTGGTGCTGGTGTGATGCTGGGAGTCCAGCAAGGAGCCCTTCTCCAGACCCTTGAGACATCGACCTCAGGAGCAGTCCTGAGATTTTCAGTGAAATAAGGCTGAAGGTTTTGGTGTGGTAAAGCCCAAAGGATCCAGAAAAGCAGCCTTGACTCTGCCTCTTTTCCCTCTGAGCTGGACAGGGTTGGGGGTTGAAGATGCTGATAGTGCTCGTTGTTATTTTTGCTCCCACTGATGTGGCCGAGGGCTCTTGCAGGACACACGTGTGTGCCAGGTTGGGTGTACCTCCTTCATCCTCCTCCCAGAACCACTCTGGACTGCAGCACTGTCTCACCTGGAGATGTTGGACTTGTCACCTTGAACATTGCTGAAGAGAAGCCCCTGGTTGCCAGCTGGGCTCACCAGAATCACCCCCGGCGTGCGACCTCTCTCTCCTCCTTCCTAAGCCAGCCCTGCTGCCAACTGCAAAGTCCTGGCCTGAAAAGGAATACTGAACGTTGCTGAAGGGAAGCCCCCTGTTGCCAACTGGGCTCACCGGCATCGCCCCCAGCCTGCGACCCCTCTCTCTCCTCCTTCCTAAGCCAGCCCTGCTGCCAACTGCAAAGTCCTGGCCTGAAAAGGAATAACAAGACTTTAGAAAAACGGCTTTGCGGTGCCTGCTACCCGGGGAGAGAAGGATTTAGCCTAAAGCCTGTATAAATGCTTTGTACTTATTGCAGGTTTCCTTCCCCCGGCTTCTCTGATCCCAGGAGACCCGTGCACAATCCCGATGCTCCGGCTCTGCGCCGGCAGCGCCTGTGGCCTGCGAGCCATCACTGCGGGGACAGGCTGGAAGACAACCTGCCGGGGGGCTAAAAGGGGCTACAGCCAACAGGATCCCCCCCCCAGATCCAGCTGGGGTCATGTCACTGCCTGCATCTCCATCACAGGGGGGTGCTGAGCCCATGCAGGACGTTGTGGGACCCCCGATTCAATCACGCAGCTGGTGTCCCCATTGCTGGTACGCACAGTCACTGATTTACTTGGAAAGACCAGTATTTTTGGGAAAATGGCATTCCCCCAGCTCCATGTCCTCAACATGGCTGGGAAGTGCTAGGCCAGGGAGGTGACAGCGTGGGGGGCTGCTGTCCACCCCCTGTCCCCTCCTCGGGACCTGGGCAGCCCCAGGGAAGTGAAACCCAGGCTGGGGAAGTGAAAGGCAGGCCGGTTGCGCAGCGCGGAGCCGGGGGCAGACATTCCTCCTCTGATTGAAACCAGACCTCAGGCCGTGCTGCCGGAGCTGGTGGGGAATGTGGATAAACCAAACCAGCCCAGGCTCTCCCTCTTACATGGAAATAGGCTTCGTCTGCCCTGGGCTCGAAGTCCAGCAGACACAGCTTTGTGTGGAGACCATGATCTGCGATGCCACCAAAGCAAATCCCCCCAATGGGACCTTGTTCCTCCCAGAGGGGACCCCAACCCTCCAGCCACCCCGACCTCCAGCTCGCCACCCCAACACGTGGGAGCAGGATGGTGTGGAATGGTGGGGACGCTGCCGTGGGGACTGGGAGAGTGGCAGCACCCGGGTGATGCCCAGGAAGGGACCATGGGATGAAGACACCCAGGCAGGACCCTCGGCAGCCGCAGGCAGAGGGGAGGCGGGTGGGTGAGACGGGGACAGCGCAGCCTCCTCGTCACCTTCTCAAACCTTGTGTCAGCTTTCCACCTCCCTCCCACAAAAATCCCTACCAGCCCACACCATCTAAAAAAAAAAA